TTTGAAAGAAAATAGTAGTAGACTGTAGTAAAATCAGTGTTTTATTTCGAAAATAGAATGAATTGCATAATTATTTTGGCTGGCGATGCGAAATGTCTAGACTTCTAAGTCAAAACACAGGTTTGAATATAAAAAACAACAGGTAATTTTTAGGTCATCGTTTCTAAAAGTTCATTTCCATTTATTTGGTAACTTTAATGCAATAGTAATGAAAAGAAAAATGGATCATTCTTACTTTTTTTTTTATTTAAATTAAGTATTTTGAATATTATGTAGATTTTATTTTATATATTTAAAATATAAATAGAAAAAATGTTGAGTCATTTTTATATTATACTTTTATAAGGAAAATGATAATGTATATTCTACACTTGCAAAGTTCAAGAATCGTTTGAGCCAATGGTAATGCAATGGAATTATTCATGAGGTTCGGTGCGAATTATTCAAATTAGCTAGGAAGTTATAACTAATATAGGTGGGAGGTGTACTTTGCAGATGATATCGGATTTGGGACGTTTGCGGTTACGAAAAGTGGAGGATTTACGTTAATCCTGTACATTTTTGCTGCATTATTGCGCTTTTTTTTGTGCTTTGTTCGCTCTTCTCGACAGGAGACCATTAAATGGTAACTGCGTTCGTGCTCTGCGCTTAGTGCCGTTCTGACTCCGTGCAATTATCGGAAATAAACGGTTTTTATCAACGACTCGAGCCGTGATTTTCCATTTAAGGCGCCTCCGCCCCTCTCGTTCCGAGCATTTCGTATGCATATAGGTCATCTGTGTTTCTTTATCGAGGCGTGTTCGAGGAACAAGGCACAAATCACTGCAAATGCACTACGGCCGTAACTGAATGTGCTAGCTACAAACAACCACATGGTCGAACTGATCACTGGATTGATGCTTGAAGTACAGGGCAATTGCTCAATTCCAGCGTTTCCTTATTAGCTCAGATTATGCTCATAAGATCTCGCACATCATCGTCCGAAACGTCTGCATCTGCGGCACGTTCACCATATCGATATCCATAAAGTTTTTAATAAGTTTTGGATACAATGTACCCGAATCACGTGCCACCTACACCTCCTACTACGTGGAGGAAGTTCGCAAAACCAAACGTGTGTCTTTGTCGTGATTTATGATTACCTAACCCCAACCTGCATTACGCAATAACATCACCTATGAATGCCAAAAGTTCAATAAATCGCATACATATTAAATTACATTGTCAAATAGGGTTTGTCGGTTTTTGTAAACCGGTTTTTGTGAAGAAATTTATATAATTGGAAAATTGGTTTTTGAGCTTCACATGGCGATTGAAGTATTATAAAATTGTAGTAGATTGAGGACCAATACTTTAATAATCTAAGGTTTTAGTACGTTAAGATGCGAATTTATTAACAAGTGAAGGCGTATTTGAATTAATGTTACGTGAATTGAACAATTTGAAAAGTGAAATTCGTTCTAAATTATTTGTAGAAAATTTGAGATAAAATTTGTATTTTTTTTTAATTATAAGTGATTTCAGTTTACTTCTACATTAGGAAAATTGGGAAGTTTATATCAATAACTTCTTGTTCTTTGTATTACCAACAAATATAACTGCAAACGTACAAAAAAAAACTGTGAAATGTACATACATACGAGCATAATGCTGAATCCACACTTTGCGTGACATGAGACATACATTTTTACCGTACCAACTACTATTGGAGACCTAAGACTAAAAGTTCATGACATTTATGTCTCATGTCACGCATGGTGTGGATGCAGCAATTTTTTATCTGTCCGTTAAATAAATTATTTCCCATTAAGATAAATATGCATAACATCCGTTATTCGGAATAAACATAATCCTTATTGCGTAAACCGGACTTTTTCTTGTTTTCTTTTTAATATAAATTTATCGATTATTTTACAGAAACGAACCGATCATAAGATAACCAGTTTTTTTAACAAGACTTTCTTAAATCGGTGTAAAATGTGTCATTCAAAATCTTTAAAAAAGATAAATTAAATAAATAAATAATTGTTCTATAATTAAATTTATGAATGATTAATGATATTTGTATTTAATTACAAAATTCTATAAAAAGATAAATAATTTATAATTAAATAATCTTAAAAATTGTGTAATAATTACAGAAAATCCCATTACTTTAAAGTTCATAAAATGTAATCAACATTTTAATGTCAGGTTTATATAATTACATAAAATAATATGCAGTATTGGACTAGATCGTTTTATTAAGTATATAATATATACACTTATATAATATTTATTTTACTAGAATTTATATATTTTTTTCTATATTTTGAAAATGTATATTATTTATATCAATTTGAATCTACTTCTAATTTGTTTGTTGAAATATTGATTGTTTATTTCTCGTACAAATTCCATGCATATTTTAGTGGTTTCAAACGTAAAACAGGACCGTTCCTAGCGGTTAAAAATTCTATAGAAAATCTTGAAAAAAAAAATTATCTATTACGTTCATCTTGCAGTTGAATTTATTATATACTACATCATTTAGAAGATTCTAAGTATTAATTGAAATTCTCATAAACGCCAAAGTATTATTAAACTATTACATTTTTCTAAGAATTGACAAATTTGCTGATACTAGTAAAAATTAAATATTTTTCTAAAATAGCAGTAAACTATTAAAAACTATGATTGATTAATTGCTTTGATTTATATTACTTCAAAAACATCGAAAAAACAGTAATAAATCACGACAATTTGTTATAATCAATTCAGAGAAAACAAATGTTTATTGAATTATGCAACGATAGAGATTGCTTAAATGAAATCATCGTGAATTTTCTGCTTGATCGGTGTATTTCTTGTTTACGCAACGCAACCAACATTTCTAGAACACTTCGAAGTGCAAGTCGCGCTTTAAATTGATTAGAAAATGTAAATAATTTATTGTAGAAACGTTTAAGGAAGTAATTGTTAATTACACGTTGCACTGTTATTCGCTCATAAAAGTCCAGTTGGCTGCTTACGTGGCAATCGATTGTTTGCACGTATTTCAACTTTTCTAGAAGTTTCGTTCTTCCTCCAGTTTCGGATCAATTGCTCGACCATGTTTTATTTTAATTATGATTGGTTGCCAACGGCGATGAAGATGAAAAAGAAGAAAGATGATGATGATGATGAAGACGAGGAGGCGATTAAATTGCTTAAATGCTTTTCATTAATAAACACTCCCCTGTATATTAAAAGGGGAGACGGAGAAGAGACAGAGATAGAAAAAAACAGAAGATGGAGATAATCCATTAAGATAATTAAGAGATTCCATGTTTTTTTTTCTCTCCCTATATATTTTCGCCCCGATAAATTGTAATTAAATCGCTATAGATTATTGTTATTCCTGGGTTTACCACAATCAACGTAAATCATTCAATTCAAACCACATTCATCATACACTATTCAATTTAAATCGAGCACTTCAATTTTATTGATAATTTATGTGTAAACGGTTTCTTTTTATGTCTACAAATCTTAAAATTACGTCAATTTTTCTAAACTTACTTCTAACGTGACTCATAGAGTTAATATACGAATATAATACTTTGCTTCTAGTAAAATATTGCGAAATTGAGTTAAATTTTCTATAACAAAAATAAAACTTTTATATTTATTTCTGATTGTTATATAAAAATGCAATATTTCGCAATAGTTAGTATGAAAGTCCAATGCAATTTAAATAAAAATTAATGCGGAAAAAATATGGAATGCAGATGAGTTGCGCAAAAGTGTTTTGGTGACCTCGACCGTGAACCTGCGCGTATTTGTTGATCTTGGGCAGCCGGGGAAACGTGAATACACTTTGCAGCCTTTTGGTAATATCGAGCTTGAACTTGAAACTGGTTTCGGCGAACACGAAATAACGAGAGAGAGAGAGAGAAACGGAAGGAAAACAATAACATACCGAAGATACAAATAAAAAAAGAAAACAGAAACGGATACCAAAAGCGGCTGAATCGAATCCATGAATGAAATCGGTTTATATAAGTTTACTTATCCACAGTTTACATTTCATTCTTCCTCTCAGCCACCTATCGCATCCATTCACCTCCGAAGCAAAGACACGCTTTGGTGTCAATAACCTCAACACGCGAGTGACGATTATTTCTACTAAAACTTCTGGGTCCAAACGATTTAATTACTTTTGAGGATTCGCGATTTGAGACTAAACAAACTTTATCCTTCATTACCCTCTGGTCTTTCAAACATGATGATTATCAATAACAGCCTACATCTTAATCAAATCCTTTATGCTTTGAAAAAGACAATCGTATCTTGATCCAATAGATTAACAAAAGTAATTGCATAATGCAAGTCTGAAGACATCCATCCGGTGGGTTAGCCCGAAAAAATAAGCGCAAATCAAAAAGCCAATTAAGCACCGGATCGTGAGGTTCTTGTTGAGGCCAGACGAACTTAATATTCCAATGCGGTCGTCGTCTTAATTTACGTTCAAATCCCTCTAATTGTCTGAGTTTATTGCGGATTCGGAAGCCCCGCAAAATAGTGGGAATAGAAACGTGAAACGAAATGGAAAATAGTGCATGAGAAAAAGGGCACTCCTTTCTGGTGATGATGATGACGGCTAGAACTTGACACAGTGTAATGGGTGTGGGATTGGGAATAATGGTGTGCATCGGTCGGAAAGTCGCGTTACGTCATTTTCGAATATCGTTCCGTTCGTCTGTTTCTTCCATCCATCCATTTCGGATTGTTCATCTCACGGAGCGTTTAATTCCGTCCATCGTAATTGAATCAGGAATAGTTCGGGTTGTATAGGGGAATCATAAATTTTGTACGCGAGCTTGTGGACGTATATGCACATACACGCATTAAATCTTTTTTTTCCCATTTCAAATTTAATCAAATATTGATTGAACTGAATACATTTCGTTTCCTTCCTATATATAGACACTGCTGGGAATTTGTAGTTAAAAAAACATATGAACGGGTGTGTTTTGAACGATTCGAAAACTGACCCAGAAATCAATTCGAGTGAACTTGTATTTTAATAATTATGTTTCTTTTGCAGTTTACGGTAAACCGACCTCCAACGATGATTACGACCCGAACTTCGATGAAGAAGAGAACAACAACGATATGCAGAAGGACGAATACGATGAATACGACGGCGAATCGCAAGATGATGGAGATGATGATGACGACGTAGCGCCTGTGATCACGTCCAATCCGGAAACGAAGGTCGTCAAGCCTGGAGCTAGCGTACTTCTTCCCTGTGATATCGAAGGAACCTTCGGTGAGTTGCACTTGAATACCTCAATATTGATTAACTAACTCTTTGAATATTACGCAGATTCGTACGTCGTCGTTTGGGAGATCAACGATAAGATTATCTTTCAAGATCGGCTCATTCTCAGCGGTTTTGATGCCAATAAGTATGAGCTCATGGAGAACAAGTCGATGGTCATCAACAATATCAATGAGGATGATGAGACCGATTATACCTGCAAGATCATGATTAAAAACGAGGCACCCAAGGTTACGCACAAGGTTATTTTGGCGAAGGCTCCGATCATCACTTCTTTGATTGCCGAAAAGAACGTGCAAGAGGTAAAGCTTTTAAACAATTTATTCAGTTATTAGGTTTTATACAATTTCTTTTTAGTACAAATCGGGAGATACATTAAACTTGACTTGCATCGCCAGCGGTCTTCCTAAACCTAAGATCATCTGGTCTTTGAAGGGAAAGACGTTCTCTTCGCAAGACAAAACTTTGATCATTGAAAATATTAAGCACGCAGACAGCGGTAGCTATCAATGCCTCGCCGACAACAGCATCGGACAACCGGCTCACCAATCTTTGACAATTCAAGTTATGCGTAAGTTGACCGTATTATAGACAAATCAAAATAGGAGGTAATAATATTCCAATGTATTTTTTAGATAAACCAATTGTGTCGATCCAAAAATTGCCATCAAACATTGGAGAAGATTCCTACGACATCGACTTGAAGTGCGTGGTGCATTCAACCCCCGGAGCCATTGTCGAGTGGAGGAAGAATGGCGTCAAGTTGGACAATAAGATTAGGATCAAGAACAACTTCCACATCCTGACTTTGGCTCAGGTCAAGGAATCCGACTTCGGCACGTACACCTGTCACGCGGTGAACCAAGTTGGCGAGAACGAGCAGCACATCAGCCTGATGAACACCCCTAGTAAGCCGGTGTACTTGGAAGGAAGCAGGGACGAAAAAGCCAAGGACGTAAATCTGATCTTCGATGTTGAATCCATCTTCCCCATCACCGAGTACACACTCTACTACAAGAAGCATTCTGTAAGTGGATTATTATTTTTCTTGTTGTTACGGTATTGGTATTAACGTTACTATTCGCAGGATGAGAAGTGGATGGAAGAGAAACCGGTGGTGCACGAAGCCGAAGGAAACGTGTTCAAGATCAAGCAGACCTTGTACTTGCCAGAGGGAAGCTTCGAAGTCAAAGTGAAGGCTAAGAACATGCACGGTTGGTCCGAGGAATCCAAAGTATTGCATTTCAAAAGTAAGTAGCACGCTGATGCTCTTTAGATACACGTATTTTAAACGCACGCATATAGTGATTTAGTTAACTCATCCATCTATTGGATGAGCGACACCGCTTATTTATTTATTTATTCTTTATTTATTTTCAATCACAGCCAAGAAGTCCCATCACCAACACCAACATAAGCACCACAACACTTCTCCTGAAGAAGGTATAATTACTTTACACACATTTATTATTTATGTATCACCATATTTCTAAACCCAATCTGCTCAAAAAATCATCTACAAATAACGATATTCATTCATTTTTAAATAATTATTTCATCTATAATTTTTAATTATTTTTTCGTAATTATATAGTAAATGATTGAAGATCAAGACGTCAATAAACTTGTATAAAATCAAAAGTGACACACGTCACTCAAGAGTTAGATAGTTGGTCAATTGATGAATCAATTGAGCGGATTGGTCACAGTGATTGGTTTAATCGTTATCGTTTTCATTTTGAACACGTTTTTTATTTATTTTCTTTTCCATTCTTAATCCACAGCGCACGAAACAATGCCCAAAGAGTCTCCAGTCAAAGGTACATACATGTCCATCGCACCATCAAAACACGCTTCGTGTGAACGTCGTTTCTAACCGAACTTTGCTAATTTTACAGAATCGCAGTCCACGTCCACGAGTTCCGAGCCGAAGATGCCGATGGCCACCCTCGTGTGCCTGATGTTCGCATCGATACTGTTTAGATACTAGACCAGAGATCCTTCCGAGTACTTGGTAGTCCACCGCAGAGCAACAGAGAGAATTAACCAAAGTATTTAAATTGTTTTAGACTTAAGTAAATTATATATACAAGAAAAAAGAGAGAAAGATGAAAACCGCAACAAGAAACGGATATTAATTAATAAACAAAACTTTAATAATCTGATATCGTTGCAGGTTTTCAAATTGTCATCCCCTAAATTCTTTTCTTTTCAATTTTTTTTTAGATATATATATGTGTAATTCTTGTAAATATTAACCAAATTTTTTTGTCACACATTTCTCGATTCTTCTTCACCATTTTTTTTTAACTCAATTTGTTTTTAATTATTTTTGTTTGTTTGTGATACAAAGCTTTCGTCCATAATTTGATTATACTTTGAAATTTCCCCCGGGGCATTACCACAGTTTTTTTTTAATTCTTTTTTCAATAATGTTTTGTGTTTGTAAATACAATTTTGTTTGTTTTATTTTTTGCAATTGATAAAACGGAAATAAGAAACAAAAGGCCATCAAACAAAATGGATAGAGAATCGATTTTAATTTAGTTACCTAATTTAGTTTATTTTTTTTTGTTTAATTATTTCGATTAACATGAATTAAGTCAGTATTTTTTGTTACATATTTAGTTGATAAATAAAAACCCTACGTAATATGCCATACATAGTTATTCTAGCGTCGATCTATGTATATTTATTGAAATAAGTTACATTTTAGTTTAATTATGTAAATGTACCTTAACTAATTTTACTCTGTTCTTATTTATATAAAAACAAGCATATAAGAAAAAAAAACAATCAAATAAACAGCAAGCATAGATCTTAGATTACGTTTAGACTCTAGTTGAAGGATGTTAATGGAATTATTACTAATTTTTTTTTTGCAAAAGAAACAACTTTGTACATATTTTTATTTCTTTTAGTTATTTTTAATAATTATTATTTTTCAAGTGTGTTGTGTATGTAAATTTATGATTTCGAATTCTTAGTTGGACAAAGATTAAAATGAGAAAAAAGAAACCATTAAATGCCTGAAAATGATATATTTATATTGATGATGATGATATATGATGACTCTCCTATTTTTTTAACGGACCGAAATCTAGTACATAAATAATATTATATTCGCTTAAACTACCTTAGGAATCTTAAAGATGATCGGATGCCTTAATAGAATCGTGAGAGGGAAAATTATTACTATTATAGTTATTCATTTATTTGTTGTTTGCTTCCTAGGCAAAAGGAGATGTGCGCATAGGTTGATCAGATTTGCGGATCGGAAGACTCAGACAGTTCAGGTATCTCAAAAAAAAGAAATAAATACAAATCTTCGCAGACATATCTCGATGTCCGGGAAGGCCGGAAATCCTGTTGACCTTTCGCACTATCCAATTAAATTACGAGAATGGAAATAAGTATACAGAAAATAGAATTAAAAAAAAAATTAATATATGTATGTATGTATAGAAATGTCTATGAAATAAATATTTAATAAAATTAAAAGTTATCTCCACTTATTTACTATTTATTTTTTAATGAACTGTTAAATATTTTGTATTTGTTCATGCAATTTCGTTACAAAACTAGCCAGTTGCAAAATCAATTTTAACATTAGTTAAATATTAACTAATGATTATTTAATTTGAAACATCCAGATTCAATACATTTCTAGTGATTCTCATCCCTTTTCTTTTGTTTAACAGAAGATGACAGCTGTCATTTTAATTGACACAAGGTGACAGCTGTCATTTCAAGTTTAACGCGACCCATAGGTTGAGAAACGCTGCTATAAACATTATGAAACAAGATCAATTAGTATTTCTGTTGTTTAAGAAAATAAATAAATTTTGAAGACAGAGATTTTTTAAAATTAGGTTGATCTAAATACAATATATTTCCATTGATTCTCAACCTTTTTTCTTTAACAGAAGGTGACAGCTATCTTTGACACAAGAGTGACAGCTGTCATTTATTTTGACACAAGATGGCATAGGTTGAGAAACGCTGCAAGATATGCTATATTTCAAAATCAATTATTATTTTTAATGCTTCAGAAAAGGAAGACATTTGAAGGTTTGAACAAGTTTTAATTAAATAATAACCATCTCTATCATGTTAAGATAAGTTTAAAATTTCTTTAATTATTACTGAATCGTAGTCATTACTAACATTCTAGAAAATTGCTTATTTTTATTGCTTTTTATTTATTTAAATTCTGTAAAAAAATACAATTTAATATTAAAAATATGCTGGATGTTATTTATATAAACTAATGATTATTTGACAGAGATTTTAACGATTCGATTGATTGAAGATGATAGCTATTATTCTCTTAGACACAAGAGTAACAACTGTCATTTATTTTGACACAAGGTGACAGCTGTCATTTTGCGACGCATTACAGATTTAACGCGACCAATAGGTTGACAAATTAATTCGATAATAATTCGATTGATTATTGGCTTGGACACAAGAGTAACAGCTGTCATTTATTTTGACACAAGGTGACAGCTGTCATTTCGCGACGGTTGAGAAACGCTGCTAGATATGCTATATATCAAAATCAATTATTATTTTTATTGCTTCACAAAAGGAAGACATGTTTATATAAGTTTAAAATTTCTTTAATTATTACTGAATTGTAGTCATTATTAACATTCTAGAAAATTGCTTGTGTTTATACATGAACTGAGCAGAAAAACAACTTTAAATACAAAATATTGCATACAATATTGTATTATCTGTATAAAGCTATATAAAATCTGCTGGATTGTATTTGAATAAAGCAAAATCGGATCACATTTCCAATTTTTTTCCAATTTCAAATTGTATTCATATTCATTTGACTTTTTATTATGCATGCGATGTGAAAGTGTGCTGGTGACACCTACAGCAATTAATTGGATGCGATCCTCTGAATTGTATATGCGGAATCTGTTGCAAACAATATGGCAACATCAATATACCCCCACACACACAAAAATAAGAGACTGACGCGCACGGACCTGAATTACGCATGTATAGGGCTGTTGCATTCTATCGATTGTTAATATGTAGGGATTACGTTTCAATCCAGCCATGAACCGTTTATTTGGATTATATTCTTATTTTCGATTTGTTTTGTCATTGTACTGTTTATTTGCTTATGATGATACTGCTTTAATCAAATATTTATGTTACGAAAGCGGGGTTGTTAGATGGTTACATAATGAGAATGTATTGCGAGTCTAGGTGGCGCCGAGATTATTGACTTTTTTACGTGCAGGTGAGATTACGAAACTACGATTACCATATTTCACTACAATTACAATTCACCTAGTTTGTTTGTTTTCTTTTTTCAGGAGATAAATTTGAATTAAGTTTTATGTGCTTCATAATCTTTATTTGATTAACATTATTGTCATAACATAACAATACTTGATTGTCTTCATATTAAGTAGTTATACAAACAAAAATCTTTAATTATCATTCAATTAAATTTGATCCAATATGAAAAAAAATAATTTATAAATATTCTTATTAAACTCAGCGACTAACTAGAAAAATTGGGCCCTTCTGTAAGCATGAGTGCTCTCCTTCCTTGTTGTTATTAGTGTACTTGTCTACTGTCACTGTTTAATACAAATTCCTGTTAAGTACTAGACACCAGTTAAGTACATGACGACGTGGAGGTCGAGTGTCAACATCTTAGCAATTTTTCTGAGACACGACGAATCACAACTGCTTTGAACATTTAAACAATCCTTATTGGACCACAAATAAACACAGTTTCGAACACAAAATAAGAGAATCATAAAAATTTACTTTGTAGCTGCAAATCACATCAGCAAACGCAAAAAGAGGTATTGACCAGGTTTTTTTTTGTTTTTAACCATTTTATTGGCTTTATAGAAATCTAAAGCAACTGAAAATGTGCAAACACTCATTTGAATTTCGTTTCAAAAATCTAATTTATTTTAGAAGTTACTAACATTAAATATAAATTGCCAAGTAATTCACTAGTATATCACATATATTAAAAAAAATACTTTATAAGAATAAAAAACTAGTAAACATTATTAGTATTAAGTACTTAGTGCATTTCGCATACTTGATAAGAGAGTAAAAATTGTTTTAAAAATCTCCTTATATGGGCATGAAAATACGAATCATTGCGAATCTTCACGAAGAATCAGCTGCAGTAGCGAATCTAAAAACAATCTGTTGGAACAGTAATTTTCAACCGGTGTGCTATGAAAATATTAAAATATAATTAATTAAATTATTTTTCAAAGATGTTCGGTTAAAGCCGGAACCCCTCAATCTGGTAGCTACGTCACTAATTAACGTCGATGAATTGGGGTAAATTACCCCAATTGGAGTAAAAGTGAATTCTTGGGGGTAAAGAGGACGTTCAGTAATTTAAATTCTATGTATCCATGAAAAATATAAGAATTTGTAGTGCGATAATGTCGGCGTTAATCGATATGTTAAGTTAATTGGTAAAGACGTTATCTAAATTAATATTTTTTTTAATAAAATTCATTTTGAAAAATCTACATAAATTTAAGATAAAACAACAACTGATTCGTTGTATTAAATTTATACATAAAAACGATTAAATTAATTAATTTATGAGTATTATTATAAAAAAAAATTCATTAATTATCAATAATTTATTTTTATACGGAATAATCTACAATGATTGAGAGACTTTTGTATAAACAGGTCAATGTTTCATATTCTTAGTAATTGCTTAAATTAGAACTTCCAAACTCTTATTACTAATTAATATTGTATTTAGTTTCTATCATTCAAGTAGCTTCTATAAATCTTTAGTAATTATTAATAATTTTGCAATTTTAAAGATTCTTTTTTTGTATTTATACACTGTAAAATTAATATAAGATTTTGTATTTTATTGTAAATATATTCATGTATGAGTATTTTCCAGCTTTTATGCTTGTATTCTCAATTTTGTTTTTCTATAAAATTAGATTATACATTTGTATTTAGTGTATATCTAAAAAAAACATGGAAATTGTTTACTTCTTGGTATGAACCATTAAATTTATACAAACTATTATTTATTGCTAAAAATGTCCACTGCGTTGTTGTTCAATCAAATTCAACCATTATCTCATCCAGAGGTTTCCTTTTCAAATCAGGAACTTCGCAGTCTTCATGCGGATATCCAACAGGAAGAAGTATAGCCAGTTTCTCGGACATGGGTCTACCTAGGAGGGAACGCAGAGCAGGTCCGCAATTCAGAGGCGTCGACGTCAGGGATACCAGTCCGGCATACTAAAACAAAATAGTTTGAATTGCTCGATGTAATTGCATTTCGCTGCTCCACATGTCTCCCCATTAAATACCGACGTTTCTAACGAGGTCAGCGCATGCCTCTGACACAATTCGCGAATTAACAGAAGAAGAAAAAAAATACATTTGCATGTTAAAGAATTCTCTTACAATCTCCTTCTCTTCAGTTTCAGCTTATCGTGTCAAGTATACACGACCTTATCATCCTTGGCACAGAAACAGAAAGATTAAACGCACTCACGTGAATAGCGGATATTAGTAATCCGACCGAGATGCACAGACTCTGCTCGCTGTAGTAATGCATCTTCTTTTTACCATCCGCCCTTAAGCTGTGTGTCTGCTTGAAGGCTAGTATCAAGTAGGGAGCTTCTGTTAAGTACGGTTTTATCCAGTTGGTTCGGAACGGTTTCAGGTCTCCGGTCCAGACCTTTCCCATGCGTTTCTTGTAGTTGATCTCTTCCTCTTCCTCGATGATGTACCGAATTTGTTCTTTAATTTCAGCTGAACTGACCACGACGTACGTCCAGGGTTCCGTGTGCGCTCCGCTCGGCGCCGTCCCTAAAAATAACCCTTAAAATCCCTTCTCTAACAACATCAACCCTCATTACCAGCGGATTTAATTATGTTGCGAATAACCTCTTTAGAAACTGACCGACTGCTGAAACTTCTAACAGTCCTACGACCCTCCAACAATTTGTAATATTCCTTTGCGCGAACAACCATTTCCTCTTCGGACAACGAATTGAATTCAAGCTGTTTATGTTTAACATCCCCTAAACTAGGAATCCAATCGTCCTCGGCATCATCTCCGTCTTCCTGTACATCCTTCACTTCAGCTCCTAAATAAATAATAAAAAACACTTTACAAACAAAACGCATAAAGCTTTTTACGCCACGATCATAAAAAAAGAAACTTACTTATATCCATTGTGGTTTCGTCGGCGCAAACTAAGTTCCTTCCTTTTACCTTCGTTTTATTGCTGTACAGAAAGTACAATAGTTTTCCGGCGATGTACACGAACAGTCCTGCGACAAAGTAATGCCAGTGTATTTTGTTGAGCATTTTCGTGGAAATTGCGCGAGAACTGAGCCGGTGTTGAAGCAAATGTGCGCTTTTATACGAAGGATTAAGAGACTGTTTGTTTTTCTGTTAACGCTCGGATCGATCTGCGGCGAGTCGTGACAACTATAAATATTACATTGAGTTTACATGTAATATTTATATATAGATGTTATCATTATGAACTATTTTCTTTCTTTCGTGTTTTATTTAATTGTCTTCATCAATATTTGTTTAATTTATCGTATGTTTGATAATAATTGTTATTACTCAAATAGATTACATAACAATAATACTTACATCTCTTTACAAAATAATAAAATTGTTAGATTGTGAATAGATTTTTTTTTCAGTTTCTCTACAAAAATGCAATTATAAAAGAATACTAACTAGGTTTAACTAATAATTAAACAAACAATTTCTAATTTTAAATGTATTTTCAACAGTTATATAATTTATAATGTAAATATTCAAGTGAAAATTTAGCAAATCGGTTCGCTGTTGACATTAGGAACTTGCTTGGTTTACTATGTTTTACAACTTGTTCCCAAAATGAAAATGTCCTTACATGTCAGCCTTGTGTCCAGGTGTATTCCAAAGTATCTCAGAACTGCTGGAACTACTTTGCTGTTGAGTTGACTGGAGGACATGTGTCTCGTTTTAAGGTAAAGGTAACATTCACAGATTTTGACTGGTTTATACTATTTCTTGAACTATCGAGCAGATTAATATCTTCTTGAAGGTGTAGAGATAAAATTATGTGTTTTGTCCGTTGTTGGTATTGTTGTGTCCAACCATTATTATTACAATTATGATTGTTAATATAGTGTCTCTTAGTCGCCATAATAATTATATACATCAGCATAAAGGTAGCCTTCATCGAGACCAGCTACTGAAAGAACATCGCTCATATTTTCAACCAGACAAAGAATTGGCAAAATCCGTATAGGAGCAGTCTTATCAAAATCGTGCTTACTCCTCAAACTCCCACCCCTTGCTTAGTTAACTTTATACCTAGAGTAAGGATCTGTAATTAGTCTTAGGAAGAACGCAAAAGAATCAAGTCGTATCGAATATTTTAATAATAAACCAAAAGTAAAACTCGATCAATTTATTATTTACCAAACCTAAGGCTCCACAACAGACAACAGAAGAAGATATCCCACAGTGTCCAGAAAACCATCCCTGGGACACGACAGTATATCTGCAGTATATAGAAGATATAAAATTGGACCCAGAATAATCACCTGTGGAACGCCCTATTATATCGGTGTCAGCTTAGTTTATGTTTCCTCCAATTTGGAAAAGACTCTCTATAATTTAGTTAGGATTTCAAGACTTCATAGAAATTATGTACAAGTTTTATTTTTAAGTTTTAGAGCAAACCTGTATGCCAAACTTTGTCGAAAGTCTGTGATACATCAACGAATATAACTGAACTGCATCTCTTCTCGTCCAGATCCTGGTCGATGGTATCAACTAGTCGATAAACTTGTTCTATCGTATTGTGTTTTTTACGAAATCCAAAATACGTGTTGTAGTCTCTTTAGGAAAAGTTTTTCAAATACTTTTGAAAGAAATGATAGTAAACCTAGAGGTCTATTAGATATAGGTTTATCTCTGGGTTTTCCCGATTTTGGGATCATTTTTATTTGTGCAACTTTCCATTGTGATGGGAAGTGTGCTGTTCTAAGAATGAAAATTATACTTTTCTTCGATATTTCTTTAAAAATATTTCCACTAAATAGATCATATGTGGGTGAGAAAAATGACTAGTAATAATATTTTAAATAAAAATAGTTAAATCAAAAGAAAATATTGAATATAATATGAATATATAAAAGAATGTTCCATCATGAAATCGAAAAATCATAAATTTATTAATAAAAATCTTTGTAAGAAGAAAATTATTTTTATTATTTGCAAGGTAAATGAAAAGAAAAATTTAAATTATTTTAGAATTCATATATTTTAGTATAGGCAACTCAATTTACATCATTTAGACTAATCCCAATATAAGAACTAAGGCAGTTGGAATTATACACACAATTATTTATTTTAGTACTTATAAAATACAAGAAATTACATTTAACATACACAATAATCATTTAGTTTAATTAATTAATACATGATAATTAATTCATTACTACTATAAGATTTTACTTAGTAAATTATTTTCTACTTATTAAAATTCGTTGATGTAATACAATTTTAATCCCACATTTCATAGATAAACAAAAATATAAATTGCATAATGTGTGTGTACATAGTACTGAATGAATGAATATTCGTATCAATGAATTAATATAAGCAAAACATGCACTTACAAAACGGAAGTTTACAGGAATATGATAAGGTAAGTATAAATCTAATCAGTGCGATACGCAATAATTCCTTACCTAAATAAAACCAAGTGCATAAAAAACTGGCGGATTCTAGAAATTATTTGTGTAAATAAAGCATTTTACATATTAATTGTGGATAATTAAAAAAATAAATAATTTCTGCATATTTTTATACAATTTAATTATTATTGAAAATGTATGAGTAAGATTTCTTAATAATGAATTGTTAGTTGTTTTTATTAAACATTTTACATGATGTATTTGAGTGTGACCTTCTTTTAAGATAAAATTGCTGATTGTGTGGGTAACGGATTGCATAAAAGTATTAAACTCGAGTTGGCTTAATTATATTGTAGGAGTTAAATTAACAGTGTTAATGCAACAAAAATGATCTTTACCTATAGCTGCTTACATTTATACAACTTCCGCTGATGTAAGATTAAGAAATCGTACAATAAACATACAATATGTAAAATATAAATAAAACATAGATTAATTAGAAGAAATTGTTGTCTTGGTGAGAAGTTAATGACAAAATAAAACTAATTACATTAAAAAAATATAATTTTATATCGAGACAAAAATTCAAGTTAATGACGATGAGGCACTTATTTTGTTTAATGTTGATTAGCAATGAATAGCAAATAGTATCTTTACAAGAACTGGAAAACGAATGTCAGTAATACATCAAGAACTCACAGTCTTCTAACTCTGACTGTTCTCCTGTTCTCTGATCTTGTTTCTCCCCATCAACAATCTCCAAAACACGTGTGGACAAAGCAAAGACAAGTATTTTTTTTGTCTTTTTTTACAGTCTTTCGAAATACATATTAGTATTTTTCATAATCTGAATATTTATTGAAAATAGTTAAAGTATGAAATATCTATTCTATACTTTATCATGACAAACGTCAAAAGTGTAAAACTGTTAATATCATTAGCATGGAATAACATAAATGAAATAGTATACAATCTAAAAAGTATTTTTGTAGTCAAAATATTCAATTAATCGATGGAAACATATAATTTACATACTTTACGTAGAAAATCTATAGAATAACTAGTTTTTTTATTGAATAACGGATTATACTTTTTAAAGGTAAGATATATGAGAGAAATACTAAATGAAAAAACTAGTTATTTTATAGAATAACAGATTATACTTTGTACAGGTAACATCTGTAGTATAAGATAAATCTTGATATATTATAGGTAGCCATTTGATAATTTGACAAAGACGTTTGTTTTAAAAGTGCCAATGTCATTCGCTTGGAATAAAAAGTGTATAGTATTAACAGTATTTTTATTGTAAGAATATTAAGCTAATCAACAGAAATATACACAGTTTACTTAGTTATTATATGAAATAACTAGTTATTTTAAAGAATTTTATATGAAACTTTAGTACTATTTATATGGTTATAAAAATCAAATAGTAAAACTAACAGGTGTCTCGGGACCACGACTTTCTTTGTCCTGAGCGATTTAGGAGTTTGAATAATATTTTGCAGGTGAAACAAAGATTTAAAGTTGAATTGTATCATTGCACAGTTTAGATATTATATGAAATAACTAGATATAACTAGAAAATAACAAATTATATGTTTTAGCTGGCCATGTCTACATTTGACATTAACGTTTGTTTTGAAGCTGTCAGTGTCATCATAGTGTATAAAGTATGAAGTTTTTCTCGATAGAATAAATTCAATTAGTCAATTCAATTAGTGCACAGTGTACATAGAAATTAGTTGACATAATTAGATATTTCATTGATTAACGGGTTAAAAGTTTTAGAGGTAATATAGATAGTATAAACAAAATAATATAGATAGCTTTGTGTTAATTTGACATTGACATTGACGTTAAATTAAATTACGTACATTGATAGATGTAGTCGTTGCAAATTATTTAATATGTTTATTTCAATATATTGTTATCTTATCCGAATTAATGCAATGATAACAGGTGATTTGTTATGGAATCGTCTGTGTACGAGCATAATTCGGCGCGATTCCTGTAAGAAAGGGATGGTTCTGGGTGCGTGTGTAGCAACAAGTAGTAGCGGCATGCGTAGTGCTCATCCGATATTTATTTACACGAGAAGAACATGCAAGAACGAAATCGACAAGTATGATGTAAATACTGTACGTGCACGTATCGAGAAAAGCCGCGCGTCTCCTAAAATATCCGATCTTGACAATAGTTTGTATATTTCAATGCCACCGGAGACGGAAATATCTTTCGCCGCTTTAAGCTAGCCAAGCTATTGCGAATAGAGTAGAGTGTGCACACCGCATCCAGTGGACAACTTCCAGAGTGGTTGTTGATTATTGTTGTTGTTGATATAATCTGTTTTTGGGTACACTTCTGGAGGCGGACCTGTTCCGATCAAGTGTATATTCCGGTGCGTGTGCACGAAAGAGAAGGAAGTTAAGAGTGAAAGTGGGGAATGGATATAATCGAGTGAAAAACCCGGGCAATTGCAACGACGACGCCGCGCGCCGTGCGGCCACAAAACCTCTCTCACGCGGCCGATCAAGGCTACTTCCTTCTTTTTGTCCTACTCATTTTCCCTCGAAAAAAAAAAGAAGATACGCGTGTCCTCATTGATTTTCGCATCGTGCTCCGATCGGACGCAAATACCGGAAATAAACTGACAGATGACAGGCTGAGATGATGATGATTATGATGATAATACCGTGCTGTGCCGCAAATCCGTGCGTATCGCGCACATGAACCACCTACGCAATACCTGCAAAAAGAAACTACACAAAAAAAAACAACATT